AGTCCCTGCTTTAAAAGTAGGTAAATGAGAGGTTATGCATCTGTTATCAATTTGAAAATCAACTAGACAGATTATGTCTTATTAATACGTAGCCACACATGTCTGTTTTTGTGTTGTGAATGATCGGTGCTTCTGAGTCATGGCGAATGCTCCTGGAAATGTAGGCTTTGAGGAGTACGTCGATAATTTCTTGGCTGAGGTACGTAGTTGGACAAATACTGTTGAACAATTTTATACATGAGTTAAGACGACGTTTGTAACCGTTTTGCATTTTCCACTTTGTAACAGAACTCAGCCCTGCGTCGTAAACTTCAAAGCAAATCCGAGGCTTTGCTAATTCTGAGTAAGGATCTTGACCAATGTCGCACTGAACGAGATCAGTTCAAGTTAATGGCAGAACAGCTTCAGGACCGATATTCCATGCTGAAGAAGAAATCGCACGATATGGTTAATAGACGATAAGCTACAGTTATTTGTTTATAAGTTATTCTAAATTAACATCAAGATAATGTGGTATTTTATGACTGCTATGTGCAGCAGAACATTTATAGACATGATGGCGAAATAATGTAGCTTTGCAATTGTAGTGAAAATGTTTCAGATTGCCTGTAACTACGATGTTAGGTTGTATAACTCTTATGCTAGCACAAAGTAGGATGCCAGAAATTTCAGTTTTATGTTTGAGGGCTCATGTCAGTTATCAAGTTTAAGTCACAGAAATTATTAACATTGTTGAGTGTGCTTTCTCCTAGTGAATTATCACGATTTCACTTTTATTTTCTTCTTGTAGGGTTTCAATTACATGATGTTCTATCCTGATGGTGTGGACTCTAGCAGATGTGGCAAAAGTCTGGCGCAAGTTTTAGGAGAAAGCACAGAACAGAACAAGGCTCTGAGGATTGAGCTGGAGGATCTACGACAGAAACTCCGTGATGCACATGGGGATATCAAGGTAAACCAGCTCTGACTATGTTTATTATAACTATTATAGTTATGATTCATATTTAAGAAGTTATGATGTGTAAATGTTGTGAACAGTAAAATAATGAAATGTCCAATTTTACAAATTATTTTTTTGTCTTGTTTCATAAGTCAATATGTGATAACTTTAGAAAATTGTGGGACAGTAGCTTTACCTTAAATACAGTCACTAAGACACTCTCAGATGCAGCTGCTAAAGAACAGAACTCATTGTTTAATACATTACTGTATTGAAGTATATGCTGCATATGTAAAGATAAGATTTTATTGTTGGAGATAATCACCTCTAACCCAGATGTTATAATTTTAATGCCTGTAGTTTATGAGGCTGAGTGTAATCTTAACCTAATCTGGGATGAGATGATCTTTATGTTCTGTTAAACTTCAACCCTCCATCCCACCACATCAAAGTGATCCTATGAGGATAAGAGTGATCTTGATCTATTCTGATTGTGAACTCGCAAGTGCCTGACCAGTGCTCCTGAATACTTTGTAATATACTGTCATGTTGACTGCCCTGTCCAGGTGCTACGTCTAAGTCTAGGACAGCAGCGTCCTGGCACAAATGTGGGAGAGAATCAGGCATTCCCTGCACATCAGAGGGAAGAATTGG